AACTATCAAAGTTGGCCATATGATAGGTGTCTAGGACTATACGACCCATTTAAATTGCATATATGTTTAAAGTTAGGCAATACTAGAACTAGAACTAGACATCTCACCCATGTTTATGGCTTTGGCACCTTTTGGATCTGATGAGCAGATTTTTCTATGTTTGATTAAACTTGTGGATGCACTTTTCTAACCAAGCTAATAAGCACTAGCTGATAGCTTTTGGCTCCATAAAATGTCAAGATAATGCTAAAGCCATGACATCATTATTGTTATAACTACCATATTTATATAAAATCTCTCTGAGAGCACCCAATATGGATTACCTGCCTTAACAAATGCACTGTTACCTCTTTTTAACACATTTTTTTTACACCGTTTTAAATGGATTTGAAAGGTTTTTAGGTTAAAGTATTAAGACAGAGGCTATGTTTGTTGGTCTTTTCATGGGATTTGTAGACAGTAGGAAATACATACAGTTTATTAAATATAAATTATGGCTTTGAGATTTTATTTCAGGTGTTGAGGCTGTGAAATGTGTAAAATGTAAAGATTTAATAGTTGGAGAGTGAACAGAAGTGTTGTTTCATATTAATAGAATTTTTACAGACTTTAATTATCTTGTGTAAAATATTTGTTACTTTTTAGATCATGCACCACCTCTGTTTATACTGACTGGCACCTGTATTATGCAATAATAATGATGGAAGAATTTTTAAATGTATTTAAAATCCTTTTTAAAAATGACTGTTGGCTCTTTGGCCATTATTTTTCTGAATAACGCAGTGGAAGGATTTTAAATCAACCCTTTTGTATTCTACTCTACTTTTTGACCTTAAGTTCTGCCATAGAGGTAACACTGATAGAAATGACAAAGCTGATGGAATCATATGGTTTTATTAACCAGTTTAAGAATGCATTTATAATGATAAATAACACAGCTGATTGTTGTGGCCGTTCTTTGACTGAACATGTGTTGACATTTTTCACGAGATGCCAAAAATGAGACGTCACAAAATACCAACAGGAGTTTCCCAAGTGAAGGCTGGATACTCTACTTCTGGCCTACTTCTCCTTCCTCCCTGTTCTATCAGTTGTACGTCTATGCCTCCATTAGTACAAACACTGTAAGGTGTCACGGCTCGGCCTGCAGCCAGTGAACCTGCTGTCTGTCTGCGGTCATGCTTTGCTGAACTTTTTATCCTCGGGGACAATAGATACCCAGCATGCCTCCCGTTAACTCCAGAGATGCTTCATGGATGTTTGAGAGGGCAGTGATGTCTTTTCTTTTTTTTACTGAGGAAGAGCAGTAACTTGCAGTAACTTAATAATCAGTTCTAGGGGCTGAAATTTAGAGCTACATCAATCTCTATTTTGCACATTAATAATGCAACATTGGTAATAAATCAGATGAAACCAAATTAGAGCCCATAGGAGAGAGTGAATTTTAGAGAGTGAAATTTAGCATTCACAAGGTGAACATAAAGAGGAGTCCATATAGTAAAAAAAAAAGAGCTTTTGCATATGGGAACTGCTCCATCTCTTTGATGGGCTGATATCAACATGTTTTTATATATTTTTATTTTTAAATAATGAAACTTTAACACACTCACTGTTTTTATCAGACTGATTGGATTCTCCTCGGAAGTCCTAGCTAACACTTTTTGTTTTCTGTGCAATGCATTGTGTAGTAGATTTAGATTTAATGTTTTCATGGAGCTTTGTTTAAAGTGTCCATTAAACTAGGAGAGTTCATTTTCTGCTGGAAATCCTGTTAGAGGTAGACACTTTGTCTCTGCATGGAGAGTTATGAAGGCATTTTACATACATCTTCATAACCATAAGCCACCTTAAAAAATGAAAAATGAACATTTGATATATCATTTCTTTCATCTATACAAAAAAGTTGTAATGTTGGCTAACTGAAATCCTAAAAAAGCTTATTGATGGTTTCTCGCTCGGCATGTATAATTCAACTTGTGTGGATCAGGTCTCCTGAAATTTAAACTGTAGGATGATGTTGTGAGCTGTTGTACATGTGTAAATGTTATTTTAGTCCATTGATAGGTGGTTGCTAGGCAATGTAATGGCATCACAATATCTGACATAGATAAGAACCTTTGGGGGCCGGAGATGTACCTGTGAGCCAAGTTTACCTGCCCGACTTCTGATGCTCTTGGAGGGTTTTGTGGACAAAGAATCAAACACACAGCAGAGATGCCAGAGTCCTTTCTTTTGCATTGAAAGAAAAATATTTGGGAGACAGTATCTCATAATTATGACTGTTATCTCCCAGATAAAAGAAAACTTCTCATCATCACAAGATAATGTACAATAATAGAAAAATGCCACAGAAACGTGCCTGACAGTGTTCACTGTGCAGTGGGACAGGAAATGGAACCGCTTCATAATGTGCTTGGGAACTGTTGTGTTTTTAATCATTTTGAGATTTAATAAGCAATTTAGTGATGGTTCTTGCTTCTGTTGGTTTCAAATAATAGAGATAGTCAAGATTCCTTGTCACTGTCACTACAATGCAAGTTTTCATATATAAACAGCAGAAGTCGTCCCTTTCTGTAGTTAAAAACACACGCAACATGCATATCAATGAATGGCTATTTAATTAATAGGCAGGCTTTTTGAATATATAAAATGTCTTAAATATAAATGTTACCCAAAGGAAACCAGCTCATTGCCATCACAGTGAATCCATTTGCGCTGCCGCTCCTGTGCTCTCAAACATAAAAATGACTGACCAACACTTACGGGTCTCAAATTAAGTGATAATAAATCATACTCGTGAGCCAAGGTCTCAGCTTTTGGGTGATATTTTCAGTGCACAACAATGTGTAGTTACAGCTCAGCATTCAGTGCATTTCTTTGGAATATCTTTTCTAACCTCTCTGGGAGCGGTGCTATTGTCCCTTTATATTATTGTATATTCATTAGACTTACTTTGCTTTTGGACTAAAATGTGAAACTTTGTACTGTACAGTGTTGAATGCCAAACATGATTTTTCCGCCTTTTCTTGTTTAAATATCTTACATGTTTCATCTCAAGAAGTTGTCACTTAAGCTTTTGAACTTTGTGGTTTCTCTCATTTTACAAGTTGTTTTAATATAACACAACGAGATGACACGTGAGGTTTACCGTCACACTTGGTGATCACAAGCTTCGCCTGCACTTTTCTTTCCCCTGACAGCTTTAACTGTAACACTGAATGTCTTTGTTGTTGTCCCTGCAGTTCTTCCAAGTCCTCGTCCGTCTCCTCTGTTAGCGATCGAGTGCTCTTCCTGTTCTTTGATCCTCGTTCAGTAGCACTTTTTATGCTCTTGGCCACCGTCACACTCATAAATCCTTTGTTTTCCTCGCTGTGCTTCCATGCTGCTCCTGTTCTGAACCTGCACACGGCTGCCTTGTAAACTCATCCTCTCACACCCCAAATCACTTTTTGTCTTCGAAGCTGACATTTTACACCGAGAGCAAAAAAGCAGTGGTGCCATTTTTCCACGTTACACTTTGCACAGGTTTTTTCACTCAAAGAATGTCTCTTTTCGAACAGTTTTCACGTGTGTTTTAGTTTCTGGGAACAAACAAGTACATAAAAACAGCGAACGGGTGGAAATGTAAGGGAACTGCATGTAACTCATTGTCGGAGCTATGCAGAGAGCTTTACTTGCTTTCATGAAGTTGACTGTTAACAGAGAGCATCGTAAATGCTGACATCGTCCTCATAGATCAGTTTGGAGATGGTCATTTTTTTCTGTATGTACATTCTGTATGTAGTAGCCTGTATAGCCAAGGGTTTAAACATATATATATATATATATTAAACTGCTATTATTATGTGCGCCTGATTTCTTTCTTTTTTTACACTTGTAATAACAATAAAATGCTCTTGAGTGACGTGAGGCTGTTTGTTTTTGTTGGGCTGCTTTCACGGCTGTAAACTCTTGACCTTTCCTACCTCAGGACACAGGCCAGGAGTCACGGTACCCTCAATACTAGATGTGATAAATTGCTAAATGGCGCCCCCTGATGACTGTTTCTAAAATAAATCCAAATAGATGCACTAGGAAATTGCACACATTTCAGAAAATATATGAAAATGAGAGCCGTCAGGTGGTTTTTTTTCTTTTTTGTTGTTCTTAATAAACTTTTCCTTGTTGAGCTTTTGTGTTCATTTTAAAAGACGTGTTTACAGATTGAAACACAAAACCAGTCAAACTGGACACTGGTTTTTATCAACAGCTGATGTTTGTTTTTGTTTTACCTGAACTCAAAGAGTCATTCCTGCATGAATTATAGCGGCACAATCGAAATCTTGCCCTTACTTTACCCGACACCCACCTCTCAACCATCCTATAGCTGTATGGGGTTGTCCCATAGGAACATTTAGCTTGCCTGGAGAACACCTGTGGCTTGACAAATTTAAACTGGATAAAAAAGACGGGTAAATATAAAGGTTTTTATAGACAGTTAAAGACAACTGAGTCTAGTTTGATTGGTTTCATGGATGTAGATTAGCAGGGAAAGTGCTGACTTTGTGCCCAGCTCTAACTAAAGTTCCCTGCAGGTCCGATTGTTCGGCTTCCATTAAATGAAGGTAGGGTTAGGATTACCGCCTCCAACCTGAGTAAGAGCTACAATTACAGACAAGAGTAGCTCCTCCCCTCTGTAAAATGCCAAATAATGGTCCAAATTTCACGACTTTTCTTTTCACTGTTTTCCATGTTTCTTTGATATTTATATGCATTAAATTAGCCCTTTATGCACATTCTTGATGAAGTGGGTTAAACAATGACCGAACTTAAGAGACATCTGTTTTAGTGCTTAAAAAACTGCCAAAAAAGTAAAAAAAAAAACAAAACAAAAACAAACCCTATAAGATAAAAAGATTCTAGGGCCTTCCAAAGCAGGCTGTTTCGGTGGTTTTGCCCTTTCCCATTGCCTTTGAGGGGGGCCTGAAGGCAGCAGCGCTCTGATCCGAGCGGGTCTTGACTCTGGAAGTGCGTCAACAGCAGAGTGGAGACCGTCCCAGCCCTCACAGGCTCAGAGCAGAGGCGGCGCGCTGCCTTCAGTCCGTAACATCTCCGAAAGGCGACGGAGTTATAACTGCTCGTTCGTCTTTGAGCGTTTCCCTGAGGGTGGGCATGCTGCGTCCGTGCGTAAAGACGCACTGAGGACTGTTTTCTTTGCCATCGGGAGCGGAAAGCAGACGAGAAGATGCTGGCGAGGAAAAGCATCATCCCGGAGGAGTTCGGTCTCCCGGGGCTCGTCTCCCGGATGCCCCGCAAGCCGGTGTTCAGGGACCGCGTGAACAAAGCGCGCTTTATCGCCAAAAACGGCTCGTGCAACTTGGCGCACAAGAACATCCGCGAGCAGGGGAGATTCCTGCAGGACGTCTTCACCACGCTGGTGGACCTTAAATGGCGCTTCACGCTGGTCATCTTCACCACGACATTCGTCAGCAGCTGGCTGCTGTTCGCCATGAGCTGGTGGCTGGTGGCATTTGCGCACGGAGACCTGGACCCTACGCGTGAAAACATGACCGACTGCGTAAAAAATCTGAAGTAAGGAAAAGCCTGAGTGCTTTCATGTAACCTGTTCCAAGAAAACGAGGTTGTTAAAGTGTGTTTGGTGTAAATTCGTCAAGTTTTGCTCTGTCGAAATTCTTTCTGTCTCCGTCTGCACTTGATCCAAACCTCCCAGCTCCCACCCGCCTCCTCTTCTCTTCGCCAACATTCTCCATTTTTAAACTGTGGAAGAGAAAAAAGAGGGAATGAGAGAACTTCTGCTGCGTTTATTTCAGGCAAATAAAAGAGCAGAAGCAGAAAGATCGCATGTGGTGAAAAGTTTTTTGGCACTTCCATGTTAGCGCATCCACCCTCACCCCCATGAATCCTTACCACAGGGAAGGAGAAGACAGAAAGGCAAATAGGAAATTTGCTTTTGCTTCTTTCTTGGAAATGATCAGAATCCATTGTCGGGAACCACTTGAGGTGGCGGTTCCATCTTCCATTGAAATACTGCTTTATTTTCACACTCCCTAAATCTCATAATCATAATCATCATAACCTTTTCACATAAAATTTTTCTCTTCTGAATTTGCTGATGAAGCGTCTGCACTTTTATCTTATCTGAATTTCAACTGCAGGACATCGACTTGTTCACGTGCTTTTCAATATTGACGCACCAGTGATTAAAAGACCTTCATGAATATTACATCAAAAGTATTTTTGGAGGTCAGCTCTGTTTTTTTCTATGTTTGTCATCATTTCTTGCTTTACGAATTAGTCTTGTGGAAAAGTAGTTGGGGAGCAAATGTCGTGAGTAACAGGGTTTGACCAGACCTGATCTGAAGACCGCAACTCTACTTCCTGTTAACTTCTCAACATCCAACATGTATGTGAATAAATGACATCCAAGGTTAGGGTGCATTTTAGTAATATGTTTAATCAAACTGAATAAAAATTTGAATTTGAAACATGACCTTACACATCAAGTATCTCACATGCATTTTGACCGCTTGGTGGTTGTGACCCCATCCCTAACCCCGATCAGCCATGAAGACCTGGATGTTAGAGGCTAAGCCCAATGTGCATGAAATTGGTTGCGATTCAGGATGCGGAAGGCAGGTGGCGCTGTCGCAGTGCTCCTCAATGAAAAAGAGTGAACTGAGCTGAACTAAAATAATTATTTCACCTTTTTTCTGGTTTTACATTGTTTCTTTCACAGTGAAGCTCATTTCAACCATGAAGCGATAGGTCCAGCAGCACCAGAGGAATATTTCACAATAGTTTATCCCCCAGAATATCTGATTTAACTTGTCTCCCCCTCTGCAGGTCGTTCACATCAGCCTTCCTGTTCTCCATCGAGGTTCAGGTGACCATCGGCTTTGGAGAACGTGTGATAACGGAGCAGTGTCCCACTGCCATCACCGTCCTCATCCTGCAGAACATTGTGGGACTCATCATCAATGCTGTGATGTTGGGTAAGGTGCACGAAATGTTTACCTCAAACCTAAAAGGATCAGCAGAAAATCGATGGTTAAAATAAGACAGAAATATCAACCTCGCTCAGTTTTTGTCACCTTGGATGCTGTTTATACTTCAGGGCTGCTTTAATTCTTCATGCACAGAGTCACAAGCTGCTGGAAACATTTCTCTGAGACTTTTGCTTCATGTTTACATGACAGCATCACACAGTGTCATGTCAAAGAAACCAGTTTAAGATTTGAACTTTGTGGCATGAAACATTTTCCTGCTGTAAGCATGGATGCGGTGTGGCTATAAAAAGATGATCATGGTCAGCAACAGTGCTCAGGTAGGCTGTGGTGGTCTGGGCTCAAAGTATACCAGAAAACTATATCTGATAAAGTGTTTTCTTTTGTTTGAGAAGCAAAGCACTTTGGATGTCTTTAAATTTAGCACCTTTGAGTTATTTTGAAGTGAAATTTCTCCTGAAAGAGACGAAAAGAAACATAAAACATTTCTGACCTGCGGGTTTAAAGCAGCCTGGCTCTACAGTGCTTGACCCTTTGCCCTCTTTTTAATTATGTATGATTCTGACTCTCGGGTCAGATAGGTTACAGGACTCATTTTTAACTTGAAGAAAAAGGGTTCAGATGACATCTTCATTTGTGCTCAAACACTGGCAGTGAAGCCATTTTGACTCTTGGCATGTTAAAAGAACTGCGGTGCTTTGTTCCATTCTGACCTATAAGTACTGATGCGTGCATAGACGCACCTGCTCAGGTTAACCTTGCCGAGTTTTACCTCCTCAGGCTGTATCTTCATGAAGACGGCTCAGTCGAACCGTCGGGCAGAGACGCTCATCTTCAGCCGCCACGCCGTGATCGCAGTCCGGAACAACCGGCTGTGCTTCATGATTCGTATCGGGGATCTGAGGAAGAGCATGATCATTGGAGCGACCGTCAGGTTACAGGTGAGCCTCTCGTTTTAACCACCAGTAAAATCAAACTCGCTCAACATATGTTTTTGTGTTTTTCTACATGAATCTGAGACATTTTCCAGCTAATTGCTGCTCTAAAATGTCAGCTGCCACTTTTTTTAATAGAAAGTGTAAACTTTGCAAATACGCCTATATAGCTTTGCACATACTCATTTTAAAATGTACATAGAAATAAAGATGAAAAATCAGAAGAAACACACAAAGTAAAATAAATACAAATCATAACTAAACAATAAAAACAAAAGAGAAAACAGCACTGCACCACAATCCAAAGATTTAAGACATATAAATGAGACCTCTCCCAAATCTTCCCCTTACCAATCACAGTGTGGGCCACGGCCCCCTAGTGGGCCTAGAACGTATTGCAAGAGATCTTTTTACAATAAATACTTTGTGTTTTTGTTCAGTTAACTGAAATAGAAATTTCAGAGTCACAGGTGGGTCTTTAGTTTGAGTCTTTAGCCAAAAGATAATGCGTTTTAAAAATGATCTTTGGGATCAGTTCTAATAATTCTGTTTAAAGTTTCAGTGAAATATTCACATTTTTAAAAGATACGGAGCAACTCAAACGTGGGTTTAAAAATGTGTATTATTAAATGTTATTCCTCCTTTCCTGATCTACTTTTGGTCCGTAAGTTCTTTCCAGGTAACAACAAGACAAAAGTTCAACAAATAAACCATCAGAACATCAAAATGAATTATTGAAAACACAAGAAAAACTTTTATTACATGAGTGTTTTTTTCTTGTTGATCAGAGTTGTTGCATCTATTACAAACTGAAGTGCGACTTTTTTTTTATTCTTTCAATGAATAAAGAACCGACATGTGAAAGACGTTTTAACCAGATTAAGTTTTCATCTGTTGGTCGAGCTGTTGTGGCAGTTTTATCTCCGTGAGCACCTCCAGTCTAAGAAAGTTACCCACATTTATTCATGTAACACAACTTTAGTAATCACTCACTACAAAAATGCAGAAATGATCAGCCGGGTACTTTTCTTCACTTCAGATGATACCCCACCTCTCTAATCACTGAAGTATCTACCAAAATAAAGCAACAAGTAGCTTAGTAAGAAGGAAAGCTCAAATAAGGGGCTGGAGTAAAAATATAATGACACAGGGGCAAGAGGAGAAATCTTCAGCTTGACTCTATTTACCTCGATGTCGCTATCTCACCCAAATATCTACAGACCCACTTTCAAATATATTGGGATGCTATGTGAAGTGCACAAATCTGATAAATCCATATTTTATTCACAGTGGACACGGAAAGTGTTTAAACTTACCAAATGTGGCATTTTAAAATATAAGAGAAATATGAGCTCATTTTTAATTTGATAGGATGTCTCAAAAAAGTTGGAAAAGACTGTCTTCTTTTAACTACAGTCTGTAAACATCTGGGATCATCTGGGGAGAAACTGCTAGACCTTCGGGACAGGAATGATGTCTGATTCTAGTCTGATGGAGGATTTTAGTTGCTCAGCAGACCAGAGCCCATGCATTAATGCAATGTGCCGGGCATCCAGCACTGATTCTCAGCCTCATTCCTCACGCAGAGATTTCTCCAAATTCTCTGAATCTTTTGATTTTATTTACTGCACATAGAAAAATAAATATTCTAATTATTCACCTTTTTCTTCTGAAATTGTTCCACAATTTGTATATGCAACATTTTGCAGATTGGTGAGAACAGCTGAGTAGAGTTATGAATTGAGGTTGTACCAAGATTTATTTGAAGGACTTGGCTTGAACAGGATCAGGCCCTGGGTGATATCAACTACATATGAAGTCTAATATGTCTAACAATGTGGTTGGTTTTTAATTACTTCAGAATTCACTCAAAAGCAAATTTTTTCTCAGGTTTAATCGAGCTGTTAGTTAATTAGGACTACACTTCGTCTGCTTGCAGGTTGTGAGGAAGACAACCACACCAGAGGGGGAGGTGATCCCCATCCATCAGATCGACGTGCAGACAGAGAGCGCTGTGGGCAGCAACAGCCTGTTCCTCCTCGCCCCGCTCATCATCTGCCACATCATCGACAAAAACAGGTCCAGAAACACATCACGGAGGCTGTGGCTTTATTACACCTGACTGAACCCCACTTTGCGCTCTCCACAGTCCACACAAACAGATAATATGTGATGTGTTATCAACCAGAAAGCCCCTCGGCTGATTTATGATTAACAGAAAATGGCAGAGAGGAGAGAATATTGGCATTTGGCTGCTTTTGCTTTAAAAATAATCCAAAGTAATTGTTTTACCTTTAGTTCTTTTTAAAAGTTAATCACTGGAAAAAGAAAACTCATAAAAGTAACAGTGTAAGAGTGTGAGATAACAAGATGAGACTCGTTTATGCCCTACCGCCACCTGCTGGACAAACACAGACTTAAAGTTTAAATAAACAACTAAAACAGAAACCATGTATCACCTGCACATACTCTGACATACTCTGATATTTAAACCTGGACTCCCCCCACTCTGCCCTCAGCCCGCTGTACGACCTGTCAGCCATGGAGCTGCAGTGCAGCGACCTGGAGGTGATTGTCATCCTGGAGGGAGTAGTGGAGACGACGGGCATAACCACGCAGGCACGGACTTCCTACGTCTCCGAGGAGATCCAGTGGGGCCACCGCTTCGTTCCCATAGTAACAGAGGAGGAGGGCGTGTATTCTGTCGACTACTCCAAATTTGGCAACACAGTCAAGGTAAACGCTAAAACAAAAAAGATCCTGGTGGACTTTTGTTCATTATCACCATCAATCACAGCAAAACATTGATTTGGGTCAGTGTCTCTTCCCACTGGTGAACTTGGTTTAAGAGATGTTCGCAAAATGTTCTCTTGTCCCTCCTGCAGGTTGCGACGCCATGCTGCAGTGCCAGAGAACTGGACGAGAAGCCGTCCATCTTAATCCAAACCCTCCAGAAGAGTGAGCTTTCGCACCAGAACTCACTGAGGAAGCGCAACTCCATGAGACGCAACAACTCCATGCGCAAAGGTGCAGGAAGCAGCGGGAGTCTCCGCAGGAACAACTCAGGCCTCGCCGTGCCTAAAGTCCAGTTCTTCACCCCAACCGATGGAGGCCAGAACCTGAACGCCGTCACCTGACATGAGGCCTACCGTCTGCTGGCTCCACTGCTCTTCCTGGTGGGGAGGAAGATCCTGGGTGTTGGTGCATCTGTCTCTCTGATTGGACTCATTCTTCTTCTTTTCACTGGCATAACTAGACTTGTGTCTCGACACGTTCACTGTTAATGTTCCCTGTGTTTATGTTCATGGTTTAAAATGGGTCCTGTTCAGATTACATTTGTGATCTCTAAGCAGTTAAAGTAACATTCCTCTGCGCTGACAGAAACCCAGAAAGCAGATACTAAAACAGATAAGAGACGGATGGAAACTGCAGAATTGGTTGTGTGAGCTTAAACTGATTTCTAAATGACATACAGCGCTTTTCATTCTGAAACACTACGGTATAGCGCCTTGAGGCGACTTATGTTGTGATTTGGCGCTATATAAATAAAATTGAATTGAATTGAATTGAAAATTGAATTAAAACTTTCAAAAGTGGCTTTAGCCTGCATTCTTTCTCATGGCCATCAGGGGGCTACTCCTCTGGCTCCCAGATCTTGGCTAAAGCCTTAAAACTGACGTCAGTAAACACTTTTCTTTTGGGTTTTTGGACTCAATCACTTGTATAAGTTTTATGTTCCTTCTGTACATTATGGTCCTCATTAGAGTCCATAAGGATGATAAAACATGGATCAGGCAGTTTGCAGACGACTGTATTGGTTTGACCATCACTTCTGTGATGCATCAGTACACAAGCTCAGAGAGTCACAGATTACACATAGGAAGATAATCTTCCTGCTTGTTCTGGTTTTAAGTTACACCAGCACCACTGATGCAGAGGTTTCGTCTTCCCCTATCATTTAGAAAAATACATTGAATGCCTGTGCACTGTAAAACAGAGCTGTGGATGAGACATGACAATGCGGTGACCATAATCAGTCCTTAACTTATATAATGACTGTCATGTTGTATTGTATAAGCTCTGAAAGTTATTAATTAACAGGAAAGTGTTCACTAAGCTCACTAATGAAGTCAGGATCACTTCTATAGACTTCAGTTCAGCTGGACTTTTCTCTGAAACCAAAGGATTTGCCCCCTGCTGGCCATTAGAAAGAATGCAGATTGTCTAAATCCGTCTTTCTTGTCGTTGCCCCCCGTTTTCTTTGTTAACCTAAACTAGCAATTCTATGCCTTTATCTCAATGATGCTGCACATCAGATACTCAGAATAGCAGCAATAGTATATTCTTAAACACACACAATACCCTTTGTGTTTGTCTGTGTGACCTGCCTGGTCTCAACTTCAGTCACCAGTTCTCTCCACTCAGAAGACGAGACGCTCCCTGACCCAGCTGATGTGTTCCACTTATTGTAATGATCCGCAGACAGAGAAAGCAATCTGAAGATTTCACTCTGGACAAACGAGAGGTTGCATTGAACCTTTTGTACCTTAATGGTTTATTTTAAAAATCAGCATGTTAATGTCTCGTGAAAATAAAAGATTATTCCAGCTTTGAAGTAGATTTACTGTAGCCATGGTGTGCACTGTGCAGAGGGGGAAAAGACTGGGATGTGTTCACTTTTACTGTTTACTGCAAAGGTGTTGTGATTCATTCAGAGTCCTTCTTTATCCTTCACCATCAGCTCAATCCTCTGTTGGCAGTTTTGAGACCACAAATAGTTTCATGTGAAATCAACCAGCTGTCGCATCAGCATTACTGACATGTTTGCCTTCACTGTATCTCTGCTTGTTCCGCTTGGTTCCAGTTTCCAGTTCATTTCCATAATCTGTCCAAACCGTGCATGCTATATTATCACAACAGCAGTACGCAAAAACACCTGGCTGTTGTAAGGGCAGACGCACTGCTTAAGTAATATTTTCTAATTAAGTTCACAATCACTACTAATGAGAAGTCATGGCAGTCATTCACCGTATGGTACTGATTTGTGTATTTTTCATGTATGATTGTCTTTGTGTTGTTTGAGAATAAATACTTATGTATGCAAACGATGCAAATGCAAAACATGAATGTGGTTTCATTCATGGTGGTGTCTGTCACTGAGCAGCAAATGCAGAAACCCATTAAAAAAGATTACATAATTAGACAGTCTTTCACAAATATATAACAAACTCACTAATGCAGTTTATACACTGATTAAGATCAGCTTTTCTTCTAGGATCTTGGCCGACATACCAAATTTCCTCAGCTTCCTCAGGAAATACAGTCGCTGCTGAGCCTTCTTGACCAGCTGTGTGGTGTCAACGTCCAGGTTAGGTCCTCAGTGATGTAGACGCCTTGGTATCTAAAGCTGCTCACCTTCTCTACTTCACTCTCCCGGATAAACAGCAGCTGGTGAGGCCTCCTCTCCTTCCTCGTGTCTACTATCATCTCTTTTGTCTTATCGGTGTTGAGGGTGAGGTTGTTATCCCCACACCATGACACCAGACCGGCCACCTCTCTCCTATAAGCCGCTTCGTCCCCTCCAGTGATGCGACCAATCACTGTCATCTGCGAACTTCAGTATGGTTTTATCCCTATTGGTGTACAGGGTGTAGAGGATGGGACTGAGGAAAGAACGATGAGTAGAAGCCATCCAGCTTCTCTCTGTACTGCCTCTTAGCCGCTGTAATGGCTTTCCTCAGTCCATACTTCGCAGCTTTGTACTCTATCTCATTGTCTGATCTAAATGCAAGAGACCGAGCACGCAGCATGTGTCGTAACTGACTGAGATAGAGAAGCAGAAGAAAACCCAGAGCACACAAGACAGGAGACTATCAAAATAAATAACTAATACTGAGGCCAGACAGAGGCAGTAGATGGACAACAAACTTATAATTAACATAAAGCAGTGAAGAAACCAAAGTCCCAGATTCAATAAAATCATAAACAGAAGTTAAACATAAACACAAGGCTGTGGAGCTATGGGAACATAAATCCCCAAAACACAGAACGAACCTGAAGAAAGCATGAAAACAAGAAGATATACGAAATATAGAACCATAATAAAAATAAATACAAGAGTAGAGAAAACCTAAAGATCCCCAAAACTCAAACCACTGAGCCAAAGATCTTAATTTACAAATATTTTGGAAGAAAAACAAATCATCTGATAGTATTTTTACATGTATGTCAAAAATCTCTATTTATGTGTCACATAAACATTAAATACTACATACAGACTTCAGCTCCTCAGCTTCCTTCTTTGACTGCCACTCAACCATTTCCTATCTGGCCAGTAACAGGAAGGGTCAGGAAGCCCTGCCCTCTTTTGAAATGAGGAAGCAACTTGTTTTTCTCTCTGCTGAGGATGCACGGATGAAAGACGACACTTTATCGCAAAATTCAAGACTTCGCAGTGAGGAAAGACTGCAATAGTACCACAGGGAATACTGTGAATACTGTCATTGGCAATGTACTGTACCTGCTGCTAGGAGGCTCGTAAGGAAAGTGAAAGTAACTTGACAGTATAGAGAGGAACTAACTGCAACATGGCGTCTAAATTACAGGAAGATCTGTCGTGTCCCGTCTGCAAAGATATATTTAAAGATCCAGTCATCCTGTCATGTAAGCACAGCTTCTGTAATGACTGTTTACAGAAATACTGGGCAAACAAAAATGATTTGGGGTGTCCGGTCTGCAAGAGGAAGTCTTCAAAGGAGTGTCCACCTGTTTATTTTGAGCTGAAGAAGCGTTGTGAGGCTTTCTTACAGGAGCGAGCCTCTGAGCCCGTCTGCAGTCTGCACTCTGAGAAACTCAGCATCTTCTGTGTGGATGAGCAGCTGCTACTGTGCAGATACTGCACAGATCAAGAAGCTCACAGAAACCACCGTTTCCAGTCTGTTGATGAAGCATCTCAGGACCACAAGAAAAAACTTGAGGATTCATTAAAACCCCTGAAAAAGAAAATGAGGGCCATCCGTGAGGTTAAAGGGAAATGTGATCAAACCGCAGAGCATATTAGAGCTCAGGCTGAAAGCACAGCGAGGAGCATTAAGGAGCACTTCCAGAAGCTTCACCAGTTTCTAGAAGAGGAGGAGGCAGCCAGGTTGGTTGCACTGAGGGAGGAAGAGGAGCAGAAGAGTCAAGTGATGAAGGAGAAGATTGGGGCTCTGAGCAGAGAGATAACAGCACTTTACCGCACCATTAAAGATACAGAAAATGAGCTGAGAGCTGGTAATGTCTCATTTCTGCAGAACTACAGAGCTGCAGTGGAACGAGTTCAGCAGCAACCTCTTCCTGATGATCCAGAGCTCGCCTCGGGAGCACAGGTAGATGTGGCCCAGCATGTGGGCAACCTAAGCTTCAATGTGTGGGTCAAGATGAAGGAGATGGTTTCCTACTGTCCTGTGATCCTGGATCCAAACACTGCTCATCCAGGCGTAATCCTGTCTGAAGATCTGACCAGTGTGAGGCAGGGAGAGCAAACCCAGGAGCTTCCTGACAATCCAGAGAAGATTGATCACTTCTTCTCCGTTGTCAGCTCCGAGGGCTTTGACTCGGGCTCTCACAGCTGGGAGGTGGAGGTTGGGGACAATACGGCCTTCGTGCTGGGAGTGTTAACAGACTCATTTCAGAGGAAAGGAGTCATTTGGCCTGCATTGTGGAGGCTGATGTTCTGTGGTGGTGAATACAAAATACTGTCGCCATTAGACCCGGGGTCAGACGTGCAAGTGACGAGGAACCCGAAGAGAATCAGACTTCAGCTGGACTTTGACAGAGGAGAGCTGTCATTTTATGACTCTGACACAGACACACACATACACACCTTCACACACAGCTTCACTGACAGGCTGTTTCCATACATTAGCACCTGGTGTGACGTCCCAATAAAGATAGTGGCACTGAAGATCTCTGTAACAGTGGACGGTTCGTTGTAAAATGCCATGTGCGCTGATGAACAAGGCTAAAAAATTTTGGCTGCCAAAGCGAGAACCTGTTAAAACTACAAGTTTTTACTTTTTCACCTTTTCTGTCATCTGCGTTTCATTTTGCAATGCACAAAAATGCAGTCAATATTTAATAAACCGATAATTAGGTAAAGAGGTGCATGGGAACCCAATATTAACCCTGACACTTGTCTTAAATGGCTTGCTGGTGACCTAGATGGTGAAAGAAGTGTAACTTTAAAGTATTTATTTGTCATTTTGTAGTTTCTGTAACGTTATTAAAAACACACCTGCACACTTTGTTTTTTGTTGAGTCCCTTACACTGATGTAAATCCAGGTAACACAGAAGATTGGAGTTTGTACGTGCTTTGTTTCTAGGGGCCACCGTAAATATACTTTTATTTATTCACTCCACATGAAATGTAATAAATAAACTATAAAATACAAAAAACATCTACACACGTCGCCTTCACACACTTCTCCGCAACTTCAGGACGGAGCTCCATGTAACG